GGTGTAGGGCAATAGAATATACGGTCTGTACAGTAGAAAAACCATTACGCCTATGGGATGTCCCCACTTTTCACAAAAACAAACCTCTGTGTGTGTGAGTGTGTGTGTATGTGTGTGAGTGAGTGTGTGTGTGTGTGTTCAGGTTATCTTCACAGAGTTAAACACAGGTAAGTGTGTGTGTGTGTGTGTGAGTGTGTTCGCGTTATCTTCACAGAGTTAAACACAGGTAAGTGTGTGTGTGTGTGTTCAGGTTATCTTCACAGAGTTACAGGTAAGTGTGTGTGTGAGTGTGTGTGTTCAGGTTATCTTCACAGAGTTAAACACAGGTAAGTGTGTGTGTTCAGGTTATCTTCACAGAGTTACAGGTAAGAGTTTGTGATTATGTGTGTGTGTGAGTGTTCAGGTTATCTTCACAGAGTTAAACACAGGTAAGTGTGTGTGTGTGTGTGTGTGTGTAAGTGTGTGTGTGTGTGTGGGCAGCAGGTGAATGGGGTTTGGCCTGCAGTCATTTATGAAAATAAATCAGACGGAATTAAAAGACGAGGCAATAAACCTGCGCTCTGCGTTTGAAGCCTTACAAAAGCCCACACTGCTCATGTCTGAGGCCGGACCACACGCGTGTGCTTTAACTTGTGTGCATTACCCAGAGGGCAGTGCGCAGATGTGTGTGTGTGGACAGTACAGGTAAAGAAAACAGGAAGGGCACGACATCAGGAAGAGTTTGCATGTGAACTTCAATGCATCTCTAACTGACCCAAGAGTGTGTTACAGCAGAGATTTTCCCAGCTAACAGAAACACAGCCTAGGAATGTTTTGCTAACGTACCCATTTCAAAACATCCAGTTTTTTAAAATCAAACATTTAGGGAACATTCCATTTGATCAAACTGTGTGTCCCAACCAGACACGATGCGATAAAAAGTATCTTTTCCATGTAGTTTTTGTCCTAACCACCCGCGAGAGCGACACGTGACAATAAGCGACACAAGATTCAATTTTAGGAACGGTTTTTATTTTCTGCAACATCTCGGCAGGAACAACATACAAAATATGACAGAGATAATCTTAGGTAATGATTATGTGCTTTATTCAATGTTAAAAGCGTCTAATGTGAGTTTGAATATTATTTTGCGTTATCTTTATAGCCATAGTGAAAGCAACAATAGATATTTTAAGTGGATTTAACTCCGTAAAACATCGTGTCTCCACTCCATAAGTGGAGACACGATGTGAGTTAATGTAGCTTTCTGATGCTGCATTTTAGGGCTGTGCGATTAATCGAAATCGTCATAAAACCGCAATTTGAGCTTGCGCGATTTCTAAATCGCTTTATAGCACGATTTTCCTCGCCCCCGACCTCCCGCAGTATGCTATCCGAACCAATCAGAATACAGCGCGCCTAAATGGAGCACGAGAACAGAACAGACCGGGCGGGCATACAAACGTAACGCCAGGTTCACACACTCCGTCTGTGGTGCGTATTTTATGGTTGGGAATCGTGCTGCTTTCCCCCATCTTTCAGCTCATTTTGCTTGATAACGGTCTAACACATCACGGCTTAACCCCCCCCGTTCCTCATTTCTTACTCATTATGCTGAAGTTACTCCATGTTCATCATGTTTACTCTCTCTGTTTTGCATTTTCACAGCCTCCAGAGAAGTACCTCCTCCCTGAGGTTAACATAAATGACTATGGGAAGAAGTGTGTGGTAATAGACTTGGATGAGACTCTGGTGCACAGCTCATTTAAGGTAATTCATAAATGATTGCCTGTTGAAACTAGTTCAGATCTTTTTCAGCTATTTCCCAAACAAAAACAACCAGGGATGAACTACAGATGCAATGTAACTGTGACTTCTATCTGTAATTTGCTCGGTGACACTGACCCACTGTGACCTATTTTGTGTCCGGGATGTATGTGCATGCGGGCAGAGCTTCCTGTGACGGCCCGGTCAGGGCTCATTTGTCTCTGCTGCTAGTAGGAGGAGAGTTGAAGAGCAACACTAATTGTGAAACTCAGTATTGAGCTTTTCAGCAATTTGATCTGTGAATGAAGCTCAGACATTTAGTCTGGGGCAGGGTTTTTATAGTTAAATAAAACTGAAACTAAAAATTAAAACCATTAAAATATTTTGTTAATTGAAATAAAATAAAATAAACTTTCGTTTCAGCTTGTTGCCAAGGGAGAATTTCTCATTTTAATGAACTTCATACCTAAAATGTAAACAGAAATAACATTTAAGAAAAACTATATAGACATAAAAAACAAAAACTATTAAAAATGACAAACACACAACAAAATTACTAAAGGATTAACTAAAATTAAAATGAAAACAAACTATAAAAGTAAAAACTGTATCAAAATATCAATAAAACTATAATAGTATCTGAGTGATACTAAAATAACACTGGTATGGGGTAGTTTGTTTATAAATGAGAGTTTCAACCCTTTAAAGCCTATTGTATCATATTTAATACACAAAATATTAAGGCCTCTAAATTAGGGCTGTGCGATTAATCGAAATCGTCATAAAATCGCGATTTGAGCTTGCGCGATTTCTAAATCGCTTTATAGCACGATTTTCCGCGCCCCCGACCTCCCGCAGTATGCTATCCGAACCAATCAGAATGCAGCGCGCCTAAATGGAGCACGACACAGGCACAAGTCTATTTCTGCTGTGCTGCATGTGCTGAATTAAAGTGACAGCGCATTATTCGCGGTAAAAATTAACATGGATTGACACGGAAATTTAGTAATTACACCATAAATGCATATAATTAAAGTCTACTGTTTCACAGTCAACACATGGCTTTTTGGCTAGATTTAAAACAAGGAAAAGTGAACTTTTAGATAAGGCAATAATAGATGGCACTCGTGGTGGTAGTTAAACAAAGGTATATTTATTGCGTTTAAACGTGAATATGTCTATGAAAGATTGTATTACTGTACTGTGATAAAAGAGAATCACAATGCTGAAAAAGCATTTTCAGAAACAACGTTTGGATTTGAAATCAAAATAATGGATAAGTGTTGTGTTTGTGGTAAACAGCCGCGGATCAGGAGCGGACTGCAAACGCGTCCTGTGCGAAAGCAAAATGAGTCCGTGCTGCTTCTGCACCGCATACACATACTGTATACGCACTGCAGACGGAGTACGTGTGAACTTGGCGCAACAAATCTAGTTCAACATCTGAGGCAACGCCACAAAGAGCTTTATGACCAATGCATGGCAAAAAAAATCCCTGGACACGGGATTTGTTTTTTTTCTGCCATATGTCAATTCTAGAGACATTTTGTTACACCTTTACTTAGTGATTATTTTGCCTTATGTCTGTTCTAGAGACATGTTACAGCTTTTTGATAAAGCTATAATTGGTTTTCTTTTGGAAATATGTTTCAAATTCACACTGAATGCATTAATGACTGTAAAGCATGTCTGTGTGTGTCAAAATCGTGATTAAAATCGAAATCGCAAAATTGATCAAAGAAATCGCGATAGGTTCTTTTTTGTCCATATCGCACAGCCCTACTGCATTTGAATTTTCATGCCACATTATTTGAAATTAGCGCGGGCCAACTTTTTTCTCTCAGGGGCCGGATGTGGCCCCCGGGCCGCCTATTGAGGAACCCTGCTTTAGAATGTTCACTGAACGTTCAGAAACAAGTAGTTAATTAAAAAAACAAAAACATTTAGAAAAACTTCCATGAACGACATATAAATAATGTTTTTGTGCTAACGTTTTGAGAGCATCATTCAAGACCAGATACTTTGAATGAGCATTCTATTATCATTACTGGAAGAACATCTGTTCATAACTATGAGAGAAACTTAGGAGAACGATGCCAAACCTAACAATGGCTAGTGACAGAGAAACTTTACCGGCCATAAATACTTTTTACCAGACATGAAACTGTATGTGTATTAGTTCCTTAAAAACAGGAAAAACAATTGCAATTTTTTAAAATTTTAGTACTATTTATTTATTTAAAATATGAATATTAAATACATATAGTGATATTTCTTTATTTTTTGTTAAATTTTTATAATTTGATTAACTAATAATAATAATAATTATTATTATATTAAAAATATAGAATTACTTATTATATTACTAGTTAATAATAATAATTATATTATTATTATTATTAATCAAATTATAAAAATAAAGTATTTAATAATAATACTTTTAACTTATATAATAATAATAATTTATATAATAATAATAATAATGTTATTTGTAATATATTTTTTAAATTGTTATTATTATTATTAAATTTAACATATTCTCAGACATTATTAGAATTAATAAAAAAAAAGTTACTGGCCAAGTGGCGAGTAACACTCTTTCGTATACTCACCAGCGCAAATTTTTCCTCACATTTGGTGCTTGGTGAGTGTTAATTTGAGGCGTTGTGTGATTATATCGGCTATGTTAAAAAGCTTGCTGATCCGATCAGATTTGAGCGCTGTTTATTCGTGCTAACTGAGGTGCTCAGGTGTGAATTCTTGATCTTTAATCTGCTCTAGCTCTGAATAACTACAACAGCAAACACGTGATGTACGAAACCGCTTGCGGAGCTGTTCTCAAATTAGCTTTCAGAAAAATAAAGAAAAAGCTACAAACAACACTGCAGTTTTCCTCGTGTGTAAATGACCGTTCTCAACGAGGTAAGTCTCATTAGTCTGATACTAATGAACGTGCCGCTTGATTATATTCTAATATAGCAAGCATAAACAAACAATCGTTAGAACGGCCTGCGAAAATAATTACGGCTGTTTTCTGGTGCCGTGACCCGGGTTTGCAGTTTCTCTTGATCTTATTTATTTATTTGCCATTTCTGTATATATAGTCCAGCAGTAAACATGGGAATGTTTGTGGAGGGCTGCTGGTCATTCTGGTGTGTGTTTACGGGGCGCTGAACTGCATCCGTGCACAAAGTCAGATGAAGGTCACGTTTTAAGTAAATGAATCACTGGCTCTGTCTCAGCATCCGACCGACACGCTCATGATTTCTGCCCTTCTCTTCAGCTTTCTCAGTCTGTTAATGAACACAGGGAAGGTGCAAAATCTCAACAGGAAGTCTACAGTCACATGCTGTCTTCAAAGAGAGACTTGAGAGGGAAAAAACAAATGTACTAAAAGTGGAAACCATGAAATATGAAACGTGAAAAACACTGTGTTAACACTCCATCAACACCGCAAGCAACAAAAATACATCATTCCCATTCAAATCAATGAAGGTGTCTATTCTTGAACTTGCATTTAAGCAAATGAATGTGTTAAAAAGAAAGATTCCTCATAATATCATTGCTCATTTTTCATTTTCCAATTAACCCTACCAATGCATAAAAAATGCATGGTTTTTAGTAAAACAGATATATATATAAGAGATATATCCATTTAAAAAAATAGCAACACATTTGCGTTCCGGATATTAAATATGGCTTTACGCATGATGTTATTTAGACCTTTTGTACATCTATGGAGTTAGATTAGTCTCAAGAATACTTTTGCAAATTATATTTAGCCTATTTCCTATATATCACAAACTTTTAGGACTGAATTTCACTCCACCGCCACATATCGATGAACCACTGCAGCATGAAAAATCAATCTTTTTCATCTGAAAGTCCAAGTTTATGCAAGTAAAATTAATGTATTTTGTTTGAAAATATTTCAGAGTAATATTGTTGTTTTGTCAGAAAATGAATATTTAGGTTTCATAAAGTTTTTGAGCCATCAAGAGTTATAAGCTCAAAAGAATTTAATTAAATAAAGTCAATGGTAATTCTCAGTTTATATGTTCCTATAAATTTCACACAATGATATATTCAAATAAAATTTCTCACAAATATTCATAATATGTTTTTCTTGCATTACACCAATTTTGAAAAAAATTCTAAATTTTTTAATGATCAAAATGGGAGGTTAATATAGTAAAAAAACATGATAACACTGTAAAACATTGAAATCTTTGCACATTCATATGTTGCTAAGAAGTTATTAATCAGATGCAATATGGTTCTAGCTGAAAAAATATTAAGTTATGAAGCTTACATACCACCAGGTCAAAAAAGTTGCATGCAGACTGAAAATACATTGGTCGGGTTAATCTTTATGGATATGATCAAGCACTTTCCTGAATTGTTTCCTGCTGAATATTGTTGCACCCCAAAATACAGCACATTGCATGTAAGTGTGGTTAAGATGAATACATCTGTGTGTGGTTTGGTTTATCACCTGCTCTGGCTGGTTGGCGTTGGCCAGCGGCGTGACCATCCATATGATGTAGACATTATTGAGCGCGGCGCTGGTGGTGAACGTACAGGGCAGGACGGCTGCTTGACCTCTGGCCACCTGAACGCTGCTCTGACTCACCGTCACTTCCAGCGCACACACACACACTGAGGAGAAAACACACACTGATGGTGTGATTAGGTCAAACACAATCACATGTAAAATGATACACTCATGGCTTATGCTTGCATGAGCTAAACGCATTAAACTTCTTCAACTGGGTTACGTCCTCAGAGGTCTGTGGGTGTTATCTGAACTCTTTAATGCTATTTATGGTTATATTGTTTATTTTAAGAACATCCTCATTCATGAATTTGATTGGCTTAGCATGTGTATGAACAGCACAATGCCTCTAATCATTAATTTAGTGTAAAAATGCATTAAAACAAGCAGTCTGCTCAAACAATGAGTCAAGACATTGTAGCTGATATCACTGTTCATTTGTCACAATGGAAATAGGTCACATCAGTTCTTACCTTTGAAATAAAAACAATAAATGCAAATAACAAAATATTTTGCACTTTTAATGTAATGTAAGAATGCATTTAAAAATGCAGTCTGCTCAAACAATCAAGTCAATAAACATGTTAAAATTGTAGCTGATATGGCTGTTCATTTGTCACAATGTAAATGGAAGATCACACCAATTATAAAAAATAAAAAAAATAAATAGAAAAAATAATAAATATAATAAAACAACTGCAAACAAAAGATATTTTCCATTTTTTATTTAATTTTAAAATGCATTAAATAAAGTCTGCTCAAACAACGAGTCAAGAAAGCTGACGTTGCTTACAGTTCATTTCTTACACTGGAAGGTCGGATCAAGTGCACTGCATTGTGGGATACAGTATCTCACACAGTGTGCTCTGTTGCAAATGGCATATTTTGGCAAACGTAGAAGGTCATCTGGGTATTTTTTTCATGCATACAGAAAATGTGCATGATGTGCACACTGCATACTACAGAAATAGTCCTAGTATTATTTTCCATATATAGCCACAGTGATCTTCATCCGGTGAGAAGTGCTGCATTCTGCAGTGTGTGTGAGTGCGTTTCTACCCCATTTCTCCAGAGAAAAACACAATCCGTCTCTCTGCGGGCTGCCGGGAGTAAAAGAGCACTCTGACACCTGCTTAGTGTGTTTCTGTATTTATGGAGAGAAGCTCCCGTCTCCATCACTCGCCTTTAATTGGGAAAATCACCTTGCTCGGCCCGGAGTCTCCTGCAGTGGTTTGGGAGAGAGCAGCGCTCCGCTCCTTCAGTCTACTAATGCCAACACATGCAGGAGAGTCCCACCCCAGAGAGAGAGAAAGGAGGGAAGGAGGTGGATCTGTCATCTCATTCTTCTGAGCTCTAAACGGCCCCCAATCTCTCTCTCTCTCTCTCTCTCTCTCTCTCTCTCTCTCTAATAAATATAAATAAGATATAAAACAATACATAAGATATAAAATAAGAATATATATATATATATAATTCTGCTTCTGATAATCTTATTTTATAAATAATGTGACTATCGTGTTCACCGTTTGTTTGAATACATGTCATTAACTAACTGCTTGAAGCTGCTTTGCAATGATTTGTATTGTGAAAAGTGCGATACAAATAAATATGAATTGAATTGAATTTGATGGGCACTTTATTACTGTGACACATGGAGGAGTTCATCTGAACGAATCACATGCAATTAAACAGAAAAAAGACAGATTACAGCCAAATAATTGATATTTATGAGATTAAGAAATTTTACATTGCTAATTAATTTAGTTTTACATAACGTTAATCACACGGTCTGGGAATAAATGAGAGAGGAAGGAAGTGACTGTGAGGAGCCACTGGAAAAACAGAATAAAACTACTAATTAATATTTCACAAACAAACAAATTGAGTCTGCCTCAGAACACACACACACACACACACACAGACACAGACACACACAGACACACACACTCACTCACATAGACACACACAAACACACACACACACTCACTCACACACACACACACACACACAGACACACACAGACTCTCATATACACACACACAAACACACACACACACTCACTCACTCACATACACACACACACTCACTCACATACACACACACACTCACTCACATACACACACACACACACACAGACACACACAGACTCTCATATACACACACACAAACACACACACACACTCACTCACATACACACACAAACGCAAACACACACACGCACGCACGCACACACACACACACACTTCAAAGCTCTGGGTTTGTGTACATTTCCTGCTACATATGATCACCTGAGGAAAACACACACCTACAGATGAGCACAAACGGACCAAACCTCTTCTGAACAAACCCAAATGTCCTCCTCATGTTCTGAGGTCTGAGAGATCACCGCACACTTTTAATACCTCAAAAACTCAAATCATTTCCATTGAAGATCATCAGTTTGATGCTTCACGACTTTCCTGATCTTATGAGAATTGAATAAAAATGTAAAATATAATAAGATATAAAACAAGAATTATTGTAAATATAAATAAAATAGAAAACAGAATAAATAAGACATAAAATAAGAAAAATAAAAATAAAATGTAAAATATAATAAGATATTGATTAAAATAAGATGTAAAAAATAATATAAATAAGATATAAAACAGAACAAATATAAATAAAATGCAAAATAGAATAAAAAGTAATAATAAGAATAAATATAAATAAGATATAAAACAGAATAAATAAGATATAAAACAAGAATAAATGCAATGAACAATTGCATGTCATGATTCTCTAACTGGCCTGTAATCTGTAGAAATGCTCTCATGCTATCATGTTGTCTTGTAAGTTTCGAGGAAAATTATTTTAATAAATTCAGAAGAACTTAGTAAAATTATTTAAAGGCTAAATAACAGGTTAATTTCATTTATTTTTTAAATAAATAACAGGTTAATTTCATTTTGCCCATTTTCAGACATCGATCATTGATTTAAATGAAGACAGTAAAGTGAATCTGAACAGAACATAAAAAAATTCTGCACATACTGAAAATAAATAATCAAAGCATGCTGGGCTTCTTCTGTAATGGCACCGTTTGCCCTGGACGACATTAGAGACAGACTGAAGTGTGTGTGTGTGTGTATTAAAGGCTGAACTGATCCAAAGTCACAGACAGATGGAAACGCCACGATCGGTGTTTCTTTCATATCAGTTCACACGTCCTGAACAAACACAGCACACCTTTAATCAAAGCTCTGATGCGCATGAAATAAACAACAGACCCATCAACCTGCATATTAATGCATCTAGATAAATCATCATCATTGTGACAGCTGAGTGTGTTTGTGTTTAATATCTCACCGCCCAAATGAGACTCTTTAAAATTGTGGAAGCAAATGATACTGTTTCATACAGGTTTCCTGAAACCCTCTACGCCATCAGTAGGGATGGGTATCGTTAAGGTTTTAACGGTATTACTACTCTTCGCTTAATAAAGCAGCCACAGGCGTAAAGTGTAAGCAGATGTTTGAATGTTTAGTTCTCTCTTCTATCATAATTAAACAGGGCTTTCATGTTGCGCGTGCTGAAGCTCCTCCGCGTGGGTGCGATCTCGCTTCTGAATTGCGAATAGCAAAAATGCATCATAGACAAATGTTTGAAAAACAGCTGGCGACTCTGGTGAGATAGAATTTGCAAGATAATGTATATATAGCAATAATAAATGTATGTGTGTTTTATTAATTTCTCCAGTACCGATAGCAGAACCGTTAACGTCAGAGCTTATCGATACTCCGGTCTTTCATAATTTAGCCCCGGGACCGATTAAATACCGAGTTTCGGTACCCATCCCTAGCCATCAGTCAGTCAAAGAGATAGTCCCGCCTCCAAACTCACTCCATTGGTTGAGACAGAAGTTGACATTTTTAGCTTTAAAACACTTTAACTTAGACATATTAAGAAGTTATGCTCAATATTTAGTGACTTTATGTGCCTTAAAAAATCTAAATGGTCTAAAAAATTATACTGCTTCATAAAAACTATGAACCTTTTAAAAAAGAGAATGTAAAGATGGAAGTGATACTGTATACCTCCTGCTCCCTTCAGAGGGTCGCTGGCACATATCACACACACACACACACACAGTCCATGTTTACAGGATGCTGGTCATAGCAAGAAGCCACCTGCTCACTTTGTATCATGAAGAGGAAAGAAAAAATTGGACAAAACCAACAGAACAACATGAACAACACAATGAAAATGACGGCTGTGTCTCAAAACTAGGCGAGTTGCCTTATTAGGCATCATTTTTAGGCATTTAAAGGGCTTTTCACACTTCACATGAATCCTGAGTTGCCAGATTTCAACATTTCACACTGTTTTTTTTTTTTAAATAAATGAATACTTTTATTCACCAAGGACGCATTAAATTGATCAAAAGTGACAGTAAAGACATTTATAATGTTATAAAAGATTTCTATTTCAAATAAATGCTGTTCATTTGAACTTTCTACTCATCTGTGAATCCTGAAAAATAAAATGTATCACAGTCTCCACAAAAATATTGGGCAAAACAACTGTTTTCAACATTGATAATAATCATAAATGTTTCTTGAGCAGCAAATCAGCATATTAGAATGATTTCTGAAGATCATGTGACACTGAAGACTGGAGTAATGATGCTGAAAATACAGCTTTGATCATAGGAATAAATTACATTTTAACAGATATTCACATAGAAAACTGTTATTTTAAATTGTAATATTTCACTATTTTTACTGTAGTTTTGATCAAATAAATGCAGCCTTGGTGAGCAGAAGGGACTTCTTTCAAAAGAATGAAAAAATCTTCCAAACCCAAACTTCTGAACTCAGGTGTATATTTTTATATTTGCACACTCACACTCGGTCAGTCTCGGATAACACTGAATGCAGCATTTGGAACTCGCCCATGATTCCGAAAAATGTTGCCTAGGCAGGCAGCTCCGTTTAATCAGTCAGTGAAGCAGGAAATTATGTCATACTGTAAGTAAAGGTCAGTTGAGAACGGTGAAGTTCAGTCTGTACCTGCTCTGCACAATTCCACTACAGCAAAAACAGATTCAAAGGTTATTCTTACA